GTTTCCGACTCCGGCCCACCTCTCCAACCGGAGCGCTCGCTTCGGTCTTCAGCCCGCCTCCGGACGGCCTCTCCGACCGGAGGGCCTGGGCAAAAGCACCGCTTCCGACTCGGACCCCGTAGTCTCTGACCGGGGATACGCCAATCCCCTGCTCACTGCTCTTCTCCGACTGGCGCAACCAGAGCCGACTAGGACCAGTCGACCGGGGACGCCCGCTCGTTAGAGACCAGGAAACATCCGGAGAAAAGTAAAGCAGGGCCCACAAGTTAAACCGCAATACAGGGACCATACCCTGCGCACGTGCCAGGAAGTACCCTGCGACCCTCCCTGACACAACAGTATTGTAGGCGCTGACATTTTCCCTTACAGTATTGTGGGCGCCATTGACTCCCATACGATAAGGCACCCCCACATGCCTCTGGGCATCTGCAGTGCTGTAGGCGCCGGCATTTACCATACCAAGTAAACATGGTAAAACTCCTCAACAAAGCCTCTGGGCATCAACAGTATAGCAGGTACCGACATCTGCCATACCCGAACAAGACAACGAAACCTCCCATGTGCCTTCGACACTCAACATTATTGTGGACGCCTACCTTATCCCGTGCCCACCGGCGTGGGCAACATGGCTCAGTACCATACGTACTCTCTCCTCTCACTTGTAAGATCGTCCCCTTCATCTATAAAAGGGGATGCACCCTCTTCCTAAATGAGATAGTTCTCTTCAGTTAACCCAAGTCCATTCAAGTGATTTCAGATTCATTAGACCGATCAAGTTCACTAGTACACAACCACAGAACCGCCAGGTTCGAACCACGACCATACGCTTGAACACTTAGCTCATAGCGGGGCTCCTATCGCTTTCGGTCCCTCTGACCGAACCTCTTGTACCCCCATCTTTCTCCTTCTTGTTTGTAACCCCACTGCGAACTTCGAGCACCTGGACTTAGGAATAAAGTCATCGACCGACTCAAATTGGACGTAGGGTACGGTGCCTGAACTAGTATAAACCCTGTGTCATTGAGTGCTATGCAACCTCCGACCACAACGTACGACAAAACTATAAATATTCACTTGTTGTTCACTTTCTGCACCGACAAGAATGGTCTGATGACACCCACCATGAAAATAAGAAGGGACAAAGTGACAGACAAGTACAGAAGGGAAATCGAAGCGTTGTTCAAGTGAGATGCGGAGCGCGTGCGTGTGCTCTAATAGCAGATCTATCTAATAAGAAAATCGAGAGGGATGCATCCATCTGATTGAAACAAGTTCTTTTTGGATAAATGATGAATAAGCAGGTTACTACACTATTAGATGTATGTGTGTACATGCAATAAGTGTGACTGGTCAAACACAAAACGCATTGCTAACCCTCCGACTTTACAGCGATCTTGCTTTGCGATTAAAAACTGATGCGGTCTATTGAGGTAGTACAGTAATAATCTGCTATGAACTATATGATCGTCATACAGCTATGGTCATGTTGCGGTGTGAGCCGGCGCAGCAGCATGCACCCAGAAGGCGATGAGGACCGCCGCCACTGCCGCACGCAGCAGCCTGCCTATCACCGTTCGGCAGCAGCTGGTACTCTCCTCCTCGCCGTCAGACTCGTCACTGCCGACAGCCGTGGCCTCCTCTGCCTGTACGACGACGGCTTTGTTAGCATCGCCATTGGCCACCGCTACCGGCTGCAGCTTCTTCCTCTGCTTCCTGCTCCGCTCGTTCCGCGCCTTCTTCTCGTTGCGACCGTACGTCCCGGCGGCGCTGCTCTGCGCGTTGCCGACGGTGGCCTCCGAGGCCGCCGTCGCCATCGTTTGCTGGTGCTTGTATTCCGCGGCTTCTCTGCCCTTGGTGTCCCTCTCACGTCTCTTGGCTGCCTCGTTGTCGCCGGGATCCTCGTCGGCGAGCACGGCCCACATGTTGGCGCTCGCCTTGGTTCCGCCGCCCGCAGCCGAATTGTCATAAGCTACTTGCTATATATGGAGGCAAAGAAGATCTATGAGGTCCGGACACTGAATTGTCATAAGCTACTTGCTTTAATTAGCTGCAAGGAATTACTTCAAAGATGCTATATTTTGTTTCCTTATTCTTTAATAACCAGACGTTCTAGAAGTTGAAGTTCCTTTCTTTATTATCTACTTGTGGCCTCTTTCTTTGCTTGACTCAGTTTCCTTTTCCTGTTTTTCTCCTCCATTGAAAAGGGAACAGTTTTATCAAACAATCTTGTCAAACCATCATTTATCGCCTATATGATGAAGTGGCTGTGGGCAAGATTGATTGCTGCATTTCTCTTGCCTTTACATAATCTGGCGAAGATTCTAGTATACAAGAAAATTCATTCAGCAATCGGGATTTCAAAGGTATATTAATTTTGCTTATATTCTTATTTCTGTGTTGCATCAATGATCCTTGCAATTTTAAGTGTAACCTGAACTTTATTAACACCCACTTAACAAATACTTAATAAATCACCTAGTTTCCGTGACAACTTGCAGGCTGGTATTAGTGGCGGTGGAAGTCTTCCGATGCATGTTGATAAATTTTTTGAGGTAAGGGTTATCAATAAACTTCTTATTTAAATGTCAGTAGCTTTATCAATGTTCTGCTCTTTCAGGCCATTGGCATTAAAGTACAAAACGGCTATGGTCTTACTGAGACTTCTCCTGTTGTTGCTGCTAGACGACCATTCTGTAATGTAAGATGAGGAAATGCTTGTTTTATTTACTAATTGGATATAGTTTTGCATACTGTTTCCTATTTGTTACATGCGATAAGTCGACAATGCTAAACATTAACTGTGTATGTCGCTTGAAGGTTCTTGGGACAATTGGCCACCCAATAAAGCATACTGAAATCAAGGTTTTCGACATAGAGACTGGTGAGGTTCTCCCAGATGGTTCAAAGGGGATTGTGAAAATTAAAGGACCGCAAGTAATGAAGGGATACTATAAGGTTCTACTTCTTTCTTTGCTGATACAAATCAATTGCCAAATCTAAATTAGAATGCTGATGTTCCATTAACATGTTGCTCGTCGAATTAATTAGTTCTCTGTGGAACACTATTTTAGATTCTCTGTACTTAAAGTCAGCTAAGAATATTCCAGAGGTATTAACAGCCTGATATCTTTGCTACAATAGTTGACAAAATGAGGAGCGGTAGTATTCTTATAATTTCATGTTTTACTTAATATATTAATCCTTCCGTATGGTGTTGATAGACATATCGCCGAAAGTGAAATGCACATTAAGAACCAAGCATCTAAATCTTAGAATCCATGTCTCGGCCCCATGCACAGATTAATGATATTATTTGAGTGTTCAGCTTTCTGGAGGACTCATTTCATAATTTTTTTTTTGTCATTAGAATCCATCGGCTACAAATGAAGCTTTTGACCAAGAGGGTTGGTTCAGCACTGGAGATATAGGTTGGATTGTATGTCACCATGCCATAGGGCCAAGTCGCAAGTGTGGAGGGATGCTTGTTCTTGAAGGGCGTGCAAAGGATACAATAGTCCTCTCTACAGGTTCAGATTATAATTAGTCTCTCCTTTTTCAGAATGTGTACTCTTTTTATATTATTAATATATTATTTGTCATTTTTTTATGATTCTGTTAGGAAACTTACTGTTTGGTCTTGGATGTTGCACAAAGAAAATCTAGTTGATATCATGTAACTTTTTTACTGACCTTGACCATCTCATTTGTAGGTGAAAATGTTGAACCTGCTCAGATCGAGGAAGCAGCCGGCAGGAGTAACTTGATTAATCAGATAGTTGTGATCGGCCAGGTAAGAGATATGCCCAGCTATAATCATCACTACACTCAATTCAGACTCCTTTATGTGTGGGCACATATCTTTTTCTTGATGCAACTAGGGGAAATATTCTGAAGAAAAAACCCATGTCATTATCTGAAACTGTGGTGTTATGGCTACTGCATTGTTCATGCGTTAACAATTTTATTTCCCGGCGATGAGATTAGATTTGAACATAGCAATGGTAATTAGATTAGTGCTACTGATGTCACGAAGTTCCTGCCACTGTTCTCTGAATAGGATCAACGGCGTCTTGGTGCCATAATTGTTCCCAACAATGATGAAGTTCTAGCAGAAGCAAAAAGGAAGTCCATCCTTGGTGAGAATGGCGAACTAGCGAAAGATAAGGTCATGAACATGCTATATGATGAATTGAAAACCTGGTGAGAGTTGCCCGCCCTTCTGTTGTTTCTCTCTCTCCCTGTCTCATTCTTCTTGCTGTTGGAAATACTAAGACATGGGTGAAAAGAATTGAAAAGAGGCACATGTGACACTATTTCATGATTTTGATTGATAGTGATGATTCATATGATGATTACAAACAAACATGGGTTTTTGGGACGATGTCTTTCTTTGTGTGCACGTGACACTATTTCAGGACTTTGACTTTTTGATTGATGACATCTATCATCAGAGGAAGCATTTAATTATTTCGTTAATAAATTTCAGGACCGCGCATTGCTCTTTCCGTGTCGGGCCAATTATGATTGTCGACGAACCATTTACGGTGGGTTTTCATTCATATTTATAATCGAGAAGCTATCTTTGCATGGAACCTGACAATATTTTTTTTCTTCAGATTGACAATGGTCTGATGACACCCACCATGAAAATAAGAAGGGACAAAGTGACAGACAAGTACAGAAGGGAAATCGAAGCGTTGTTCAAGTGAGATGCGGAGCGCGTGCGTGTGCTCTAATAGCAGATCTATCTAATAAGAAAATCGAGAGGGATGCATCCATCTGATTGAAACAAGTTCTTTTTGGATAAATGATGAATAAGCAGGTTACTACACTATTAGATGTATGTGTGTACATGCAATAAGTGACTGGTCAAACTCAAAACGCATTGCTAACCCTCCGACTTTACAGCGATCTTGCTCTGCGATTAAAAACTGATGCTGTCTATTGAGGTAGTACAGTAATAATCTGCTATGAACTATATGATCGTCATACAGCTATGGTCATGTTGCGGTGTGAGCCGGCGCAGCAGCATGCACCCAGAAGGCGATGAGGACCGCCGCCACTGCCGCACGCAGCAGCCTGCCTATCACCGTCCGGCAGCAGCTGGTACTCTCCTCCTCGCCGTCAGACTCGTCACTGCCGACAGCCGTGGCCTCCTCTGCCTGTACGACGACGGCTTTGTTAGCATCGCCATTGGCCACCGCTACCGGCTGCAGCTTCTTCCTCTGCTTCCTGCTCCGCTCGTTCCGCGCCTTCTTCTCGTTGCGACCGTACGTCCCGGCGGCGCTGCTCTGCGCGTTGCCGACGGCGGCCTCCGAGGCCGCCGTCGCCATCGTCTGCTGGTGCTTGTATTCCGTGGCTTCTCTGCCCTTGGTGTCCCTCTCAAGTCTCTTGGCTGCCTCGTTGTCGCCGGGATCATCGTCGGCGAGCACGGCCCACATGTTGGCGCTCGCCTTGGTTCCGCCGCCCGCAGCCGCTGCCATGTCGCCGGCGGGTCGATTGAGCGATCCAATCCAATCCATGGCAACGACGCGATCTACTCCTATATAGTACAGTAACTACCAATAACGAACACAGCATCCATCAGAGTTTCCTTTTCGAGTACAAAACGGCAACCGTACGTGTCCATCGGAGTTTGTGTAGCCCGACGTTTTCTCTTCGATCGAACGGCGTGGCACAGATCTCCCAGCCCGGTCTGTACGGCGTATGCTTCGGATCCTGCCTGCGTACATACAGACACTTGCAAGCTCTGCAACGTGTCGATGTACGTGTACGTACGTATTTGCATACAGTCGGAATCCAATGCAAATACCAACCCGGACCTTCTTGGAACTGGAACTGGAACTGGAAGAGAGAAGAGAGAGTCAGGGTCACGGTCCTCACGGAAGGCTTCTTTTCTCGAACCCAGGCATGATTTTTTCCTTTGCTGAATAAAAAAAAATGGACTGTATCTTTTATTAATTATAAGAAAATCTATAAAATAGTATATACTAGGTAGCGTGCCCGTGCGTTGCTACGGGATAGCTAACAATTTATACTAAAAACACATGAATCGCACGATAAGATAACAATACTGTAAAAATTAAATATCAACGTGTTAAACCAAAAAGCAAAGTTTGTGAAATAAACATACTCCGTTCTAATCTCCATGACGACGGTTCATACACAAAAGAAATAAATGCAGAGGGAACAGAATATCCAAAGAAGCATGCATGTAAATGTTTTTTTAACCTACATGCTTGTGAACAGGGCTTTGAGAATAGAGAAGTGGTAAATGTCATATAATTACAAACAAAGGTGTACTTGGCTAGAAATATATAGTCAGTTTCATTCACTAAAGGAAGTACCAAGGAAGAATGACCTAGAAATATGCACCAGACTATAACACCCTGTGGTAATACATTATTTTTGGAAAATAATAGATCATTAGAGTACAATAGTAAATCGACGAAACAGACATTTCTAGGTCGACAAAAATGGAGTTTTAAGCCTCTAGCACATTTCAATCCTCTTAGCAACAGGTCTACCAAAAATGGAGTTTTAAGCCTCTAGCCCCTTTCAGTCCTCTAGCAGCAGAAAACACACATCAGTGACAACCTATTTTCCATTACATCTTCATTGAATTATGCTGCACTACAACTTAAGGAATTTGAAAACACTTTTAAAACACTTTTCCGGCAAGTGGCTCGTCATGTTACGTGAAGAAGATGTGCGAAATTTGATGCGAGTTCGTGGATAGAGACTCAACATACACCAAATACCATGAATAACATTTTTCGAAGCACTAGATTACAATATTCCATGCACTTGCAGTTCAAATTTGAATTAGTCGAAAAAATTCAACGAAACAAAACTAATTAGGGAAATAAAGTCAAAAACTAAAAATTGTCCCAACTTTTGAAATGGAGTTTTAATTACTGTAGCAAGGCCACAGAAAAAAAAATTGGGAGAAAAAAACCAAAAAAAAATAATTTGCCGAGTGCCAACCTTGGCACTCGGCAAAGAAGCTTTTTGTCGGCGCTTGAGGTCATAGGGCGCTCGGCAAAGAATTTTTTAAAAAAAAAAAAAACATTTGCCGAGTGCCGCTGGGCCTGGCACTCGCAAATCTTTCAACCTAAAGGCCCAAAATGGGCCGGCCCAACCCCACCCCCTCCTCACTCGTCTCCCACCCGCCCCCGCGTCGCCGCGCCACCGCCGCCGACCCCCCGCCCCCGTCCCGGCGGCGCTCGCCCCGGCGCCCGGCCGGTGCTCCCGCCCAGCCCAGCTGACCCAGCGCCGCGCCAGGTCCCCGGCCGCCGCCTGAAGCTCGCCGGCGCCCCGGGCTCCGAGCTCCCCGGGGACAGCTGACCAGTCGGCCCCGAGAGCCCCCTGGCTGCCCCGAGCTCCATCGGCCCCCGCCGTGCCTGCTGGCCCAAGCGATGGAGAAGGAGAGAGAGCAAGAGGAAGAAAGAGAAGGGGGAGGAGGAAGAAGAGGAAGGTGCCGACCCGACCGCCCGTCGATCCTCGCGCCGTTCTGACCGCCCGTCGATCCTCGTGCCGTTCCGACCGCCCATTGATCCTCGCGCCGTTCCGACTGCCCGTCGATCCTCGCGCCGTTCTGACCGCCCATCGATCCTCGCGCCGTTCCGACCGCCCGTTGATCCTCTGTTGCACTTGGTCATCATCCGCCCGTAAATCGTCGGCCCTCGCTCTTGCCGTTCTTGCCGCCAAGGTAAGCCCTACCCTTGTAGTGTTAGTAGTAGTAGTAGTTAGTAGTGTTAGTAGTAGTTAGTTGTAGTGTTAGTAGTAGTAGTTAGTAGTGTTAGTTGTAGTGTTAGTTGTAGTAGTTAGTAGTGTTAGTTGTAGGGTTAGTAGTAGTAGTAGTTAGTAAATAGTAGTAGTTAGTAAGTAGTAGTGGTTGTTAGTAGTAGTTAGTAGTGTTAGTTGTAGGCTTAGTAGTAGTAGTAGTTAGTAAATAGTAGTAGTTAGTAAGTAGTAGTGGTTAGTAGTAGTAGTTGTTAATAGTTAAGTAGTTCTTAGTATTAGTATTGTTAGTAGTTAAGTAGTTGTTAGTAGTAGTGTTAGTAGTAGTTGTAGGGTTAGTAGTCATTGTTGTTGTACTACTTCAATACTTTCATCTGCATGGAAAGAGAACTAAAGTACATGGCTCCTCTTGATATATTGGTGGTTGTTGGCCTTCGTGCTCATGTTTGGTATATATGTGGTTGTTGGCCTTTGTGCCATGTTTTTTGCAGGTTTTGGGAACCTCCCCGTGCAGGGGAGGTGCTGCCAAAATTTTGAGTCGACGCTAACCATTTTTGCCCTTTTTTGCAGGAGGACCTGTGGGAGGGACTCGGCAACCCCGATCGTCTTCGTCGGCGCTACGGGTCTTCCTGCACCGCGTCGACTCGCCACTGCACCGACTCTCCACCGCCCCACTACCCTGACCTCACTGGCACCCTAGGTATAACCCCTCTATCCGTATGTGGTCTTTGGTTGCGTAACCTAGTTAGGTGTCTCCCGTCTGAAAGATATACGATTGGAGGTATACAGATCTTTGTATATCTGTGACCGTATCTGTTTCGGATTGTCCATGTTTTTTGGACAGCCCGCGGATGCGTAGATGGGTTAGTTTCCATGGTCCGCTCCGGTCCGAGATGGTGTTTTGGCATCACCCCCTATTGTTCTCCAGATACACACTCTCCCTTGCAGGACGTGCATTGGGAGAACAAGGGGAGGTGCTGCCGAAATTCTCTCTCGGATAGGGAATGAGCATGAAACTAACCACATCTCTGTCATGCATCATGGTGGGATTAGGACCTATCCTCACCTATTAGAGAGTAGGAACACCGCGTAGATGCAATTGATGGTTACATTACTATGTGCTATATATGTGGAAGGATGGAAGACCGTCAGTGGATGTACACGGACCGGAGAAGCAGGAATGACTTTGACATTGAGTGGGTGAATGGGACATATGCTTTCTTGGAACATGCATGGAGCTCGGGTGTAGCTAAAGGACATTCTAAACTTTGGTGTCCCTGTAGCAAATGTGACAACAACAGGAGGGTAGACAAGGTGACCATGGGTAAACATCTTGTGTACAATGGTTATCTGGTGGCTACCACCGGTGGATCCACCATGGTGAAGCGAGATCGTATAAGAGCGGAGGTGGTGAGACCACGCCTCGAGGCTTTTGATGATGATGCCAAGTAGCGAGATATGCTAGATGACACTCACCAAGCTCACTTCGCAGAAGGACGTGAGAAGGAGGAGATGGAGGAAGCCGCTAAGGCCTTCTACGAAATGTTGGAATCAGCACAGAAACCCCTTCATGAGAGTATAACGGTTTCTCAGCTGGATGCCATTTGACGTGTTATGGGGTTGAAGGCCGAGTTAAATCTGAGTCATAAAGGCTTTGATAAGATGTTGGCCGTGTTTACAAAGCATGCTACGGAGAAGCACATTCTGCCGAAGAACTTGCACGAGTCACAGAAACTACTTTGTATGCTTAAGATGCCATATGACAAGATACATGTTTGTCCGAAGGGGTGCGTCTTATTTAGGAAAGATCACAAGGATGCAAAGTACTGTCCGAAGTGTAAATCCTCAAGGTACCTAGAGGTAGACTCTGGAGATGGCCAGAAGAGGCAGCTTTCGATCCCCGCGAAAGTCCTACGGCACCTTCCATTTGTGCCGAGGATCCAACGACTTTTCATGACCGAGGAATCCGTGAAACAGATGACATGGCATAAAGAAGGTGTACGGTACAAGCCATGGACGATGGTGCATCCGTCCGATGCCGAAGCATGGACGTACTTTAATGACAAACATCCTGACAAAGAAGCTGAGGCTCGTTATGTACGTGTCGCGCTGGCAACAGATGGGTTCAATCCTTATGGACAGTTGTCTGCCCCATACACATGTTGGCCCGTGTTTGTTATCCCCCTGAATCTCCCCCCGGCATCTCCTTTCAGCGGCATAACGTCTTCTTGTCGTTGATAATTCCTGGACACCGGGGAGTAATATGGGTGTGTACATGGAGCCTATGATTGATGAATTGATCGACGCTTGGGAGAAGGGGTATGGACATACGACCGAGCTACAAAATCATCCTTCAAGATGCATGTTTGGTACCACTACTCTCGCATGACTTCTGGCGTATGGGTTATTAGCACTGGTGTGTCCACAGGAAGTTCTCGTGCCCAATATGCAAGGAAGCTGTGAAGTTCATTTGGTTGAAGAAGGGTGGCAAAGTATTCGCTGCTCGACGAGTGCATCGTCAATTCCTCCCTTCTAACCATCCATTCAGACAAGACATCAAGAACTTTATGAAAGGTGTTGCAGTGATAGACCCTAAAACGCGCGCATGAAGAGTGGTGCTGAGGTGCGTGCTCAGATAGATGCTCTCATGCCCAATGAAGGAGGTGGTTTTGTGGGATATGGTGAGGAACATATGTGGACTCATAAGTCCGGCTTGACGAGGCTCCCCTATTTTGATGACCTTCTTCTGTCACATAACATTGATGTAATGCACATCGAAAAGAATATCACCGCGGCACCTTTAGTCCCGAGATCGTTGTCCCGGCGCGGTAACCGGGACTAAAGGCCGTTACCGCTCGAGACAACAAATCCATTCTGTAGTAGTGCGACAGCCGTGGCCTCCTCTGCCTGTCGACAGCGGCTTTGTTAGCATCGCCATTGGCCACCGCTACCGGCTGCAGCTTCTTCCTCTGCTTCCTGCTCCGCTTTCGTTCGCGCTTCTTCTTCGCTGCGACCAGACGTCGGCGGCGCTGCTCTGCAGCGTTGCCGACGGGCGGCCCTCGAGGCCGCCGTCGCCATCGTCTGCTGGTGCTTGTATTCCGTGGCTTCTCTGCCCTTGGTGTCCCTCTCAAGTCTCTTGGCTGCCTCGTTGTCGCCGGGATCATCGTCGGCGAGCACGGCCCACATGTTGGCGCTCGCCTTGGTTCCGCCGCCCGCAGCCGCTGCCATGTCGCCGGCGGGTCGAGCGAGCGATCCAATCCAATCCATGGCAACGACGCGATCTACTCCTATATAGTACAGTAACTACCAATAACGAACACAGCATCCATCAGAGTTTCCTTTTCGAGTACAAAACGGCAACCGTACGTGTCGATCGGAGTTTGTGTAGCCCGACGTTTTCTCTTCGATAGAACGGCGTGGCACAGATCTCCCAGCCCGGTCTGTACGGCGTATGCTTCGGATCCTGCCTGCGTACATACAGACACTTGCAAGCTCTGCAACGTGTCGATGTACGTGTACGTACGTATTTGCATACAGTCGGAATCCAATGCAAATACCAACCCGGACCGACTTGGAACTGGAAGAGAGGAGAGAGAAAGTCAGGGTCACGGTCCTCACGGAAGGCATCTTTTCTCGAACCCAGGCATGATTTTTTTCTTGATTGCTGAATAAAAAAAATGTACTGTGTCTTTTATTAATTATAAAAAAATCTATAAAATAGTATATATTAATATACGACCTTAACTTCGAATTGATAAGTGAGCTGAAAACTCCTAGAAGACCCACACCGGTAGCGTATCTCTACTATAATGGATCAATCAAAATTATAACCTAGGAGTGTATCTCTACTAAAATGGACCAATCAAAATTATACCCTAAGCGCGTATCTCTCCAAATCCGCCGTCAAATCCCACCCTAGGTCGCCCACCACAGCGCAACCGCCACCATCCGCGTCGGCTGGCGGTGAGGCGGCGCCTCCGTCGCCGTTGTCGGCCGCCGCCGGCGTGGCGCCGTCGAAGAACGCGGCGATGGCGGAGCTCAAGTCGCGCGTGCTCACCGCGCTCGCCAATCTCTCGGACCGCGACACGCACCACATCGCCGTCGAGGAGCTGGACCGCATCATCCGCGCGCCGCCGTCGACCGACGTCGTGCCCATGCTACTCAACGCGCTGGCATCCGACTCCCCGGGGCTCGCCTCCCCGGCCAGGCGCGAGTCGCTGCGCCTCCTCGCCACGCTCTGCGCGTCGCATCCGGACGCGCCGCACCTCCACAAGGTGCTCGCCCACCTTCTTGGCGGCTCAAGGACCCGGCATCCGACACTCTCCGCGCGCGCGCGTGCCGAGACGTCGCGGGCCAGCTCGTGGCGAGTGTACCTCCGCCCTCAGCCGGCTTCGGCGTTGCCGAGGCGGGCAATGCGACCGTGGACGCTGTTCGTGAAGCCGTTGTTCGAGGTGATGGGGAGCTGAGCAAAGCGGTGCGAGAGGTGGGCGGCCGCATGCTTGGCCAAAGTGGTGGAAGGGGCGGGGCTGGGCCAGTGCCATCGGGATGTTTGGGAAGCTCGGTCCTAGGATTTGCAAGTTGCTCGGTGGGCGAGGCGGATAAAGACGCAACTCATGGGCCGGCCCAAATACCTTAGCGACAGGGCCGGGGAGTGATCCAATCTCTGACCGGAAGGCCCGGCCGAGGAGGAACAACGCTCGTTCCCAACTCCGGCCCACCTCTCCGACCCGGGCGCTCGCCGGTCTCTAGCCCGCCTCCGGATGGCCTCTCCGACCGGAAGGCTCGCCAGCACCGCTTCCGACTCCGACCCTGACTCTTCGACGGGGATACGCCAATCCCCCGCTCCTTTGCTCTTCTCCGATTGGCGCAACCAGAGTCGATCGGGACCAGCCCACGGGGACGCCGCTTCGTTAGAGACCGGAAACATCCGGAGAAAAGTAAAGCAGGCGCACAAGTCAAACCGCACATCTGAGGGACCATACCTGCGCTTTGTCGAGCAATACCTGCGACCCTCCACGACACAACAGTGATTGTAGGCGCCGACATTTTCCCTACTGAGACAGGGCGCCATTGACTCCCATACGATAAGGCACCCCCACATGCCTCTCGGGCATCGACGGTGTTGTAGGCGCCCGGCATTTACCGTACCAAGTGAACATGGTAAAACTCCTCAACAAAGCCTCGAGCATCAACGATATATAGCAGTACCGACATACGCCATACCGAACAAGACGAGCGAAACCTCCCATGCGCCTCCGACACTCAACGAGATTGTGGGTGCCTACCTTATCCCGTGCCATCGGCGTGGGCAACAAGGCTCAGTAGCATACGTACTCTCTCCCTCTCCCTTGTAAGGCCATCCCCTTTATCTATAAAAGGGGATGCGCCCTCTCCCTAAAGGAGATAGTTCTCTTCAGTTAACCCAAGTCCATTCAAGTGATTCTAGATTTATTAGATCGATCAAGTTTACTAGTACACAACCACAGAACCGCCAGGTTTGAACCACGAGCACACGCTTGAACACTTAGCTCATAGCGGGGCTCATGTCGTTTTTGGTCCCTCTGACCGGAGTCCGACCGGACCTCTTGTACCCCCCCCTATCTTTCTCCTTCTCGTTTGTAACCCCACTGCGAACTTCGAGCACCTGGGCTCAGGAATAAAGTCATCGACCGACTCAAACTGGACGTAGGGCACGTTGCCTGAACCAGTATAAACCCTGTGTCATTGAGTATAGGCCACCTCCGATCACAACGTACGGCAAAACTACAAATATTCACTTGTTGGTCACTTTCTGCACCGACAGTTGGCGCCGTCCGTGGGGAAGACGTTGTACGTTCAACACTTTTTGGTTATCGAATGGCCCACTTTTCCGCCACCCTCGCCGTGGTGGGCTCAGGCGATACAATTCGCTTCGGCTCTTTGGAGTTTCCCGCGGTCCCACTGTTGGGGCGTGGGTTCCACCATCTTCGAGCCATCCCGGGCCTTCCTCCTCGGAAGAGGCGGACTTCGTTACCGACCGGCTCGGCGTACTACACCTCCGCGAGGAGGCACTCGTTTCGGCACCCATCGGAGGGGCGCCCTTCATCGGCTCCGGGGCGCACGACTTTGACGACGCGGCATCCGCGCTTCATTCCGAGCAAACTCTCTGCTCAAACCCCGCTGTGAGTAATGTACATGCTGTTATTTACTTGCTATTTTCTATCTTTCGCCAATTACCGGAGGATGCCGTTGTCCCGTTGCGGCCGCCTTACGGCCGGTTCCCCACTGACCTCGTGTCTCCCCGCAGACGCGCGTCGCCTAGGGGCTCCAAAAGATGCCAGCGCCGCCCCGTCTCACGTCTGAATTCGTGGGGATGGCGAGCTACGCTCCCACCTATTTCCTCGACCTCATGGATGACGATGTCAGGAGTAGCGGCTCAAAGATCGATCGACGTGGCACCTAGCCACCATCCATCCCGGAGTGCGCTATGGCGGGCGCTCCAGATAGCCACCAGAGGTAATGGAGTCCTGCAGACTCACGCCCCTCTAGACCCTCATGCGGAGACCCCGAGCTCACACGTGAGCACGGGAGCAACTCGACAACGGTGGCTGCATCACGACCACTAAGCGCACCAATGGCGGCCTTTCGGTGCACCACGCGCTGCGCCCGTGCGCATAGACCGCGCAGCGGTGCCCGGTCGCACTCGTCGGGTCCAACACAACACCATGGATGGGGAATGATCCCCACAGTTCGCTCGGGCCAATCGAACATCGCCGCCGTGGCAATAAGCTTCGTGTGGCTCGTCCGAGCCGAACGACCCTCATGAACAGCAATCCACCGGAACCTCCGGGCACTAGTGGAGACCACCGCCGCGTTCAACACGTGGAGAGCTTCAGATCGTGGACGCCGACTTCGTGGCCTCGCTCCCCATCGGGGAATGGGGACGCAGCAGATGGGTCGCTCCACCCGATCACCGCTACAATCGCGCGAAGCGGCGGCAGGAGGCCGCATTGGCACCTCATCTTGACTTGACGACCGTTCCGCACCGACCGCTGTATCGCGCCGCGCCGGACCGAACCAATACACACGCGCGCCGGCGACGAGTCCAGCCACGATGGCGGGACCACGGACCTTTGTCCAATGCCTCCAAAGAAGCGCCGCTCTGCCGTGCTCCAGCGGAGGCGGGGGCAAAGGCAAGCCAAGCGTCGGGATCGGGGCGAGGCCCCTCCACGCAGAGGGGAAAAAGAACGAGAAAGGATTGCCGCCGACCGACCAACTCCGCGTTGGGTGCCACGGACCGATCACGCGGGCACACGGCCCCAGCCGAGGACCACATGCAGGCCACTTCCACGAACTCATGGAGAGCCCTTGCACCAACCCGACTACCCCATCAAACACCTCAACAAGGATCGCCAACTCCTCAAGCGCCTTCTGCGGCAAACGGCGGGCCAAAGAAGAAAAGCAGCGAAGAAGCGGAGACCGAGAAAGGGGACGAGCGGGCAAGGATCCGGACGACTAAAGGTTGAAGTGATTCACCGGGACGCCCACCGACCCGAAGGACAACAACGGCGACATCCTCCGAACACTTGGAACAGCTATGTTATTTTTTCTTCTCCTAAATTTCAGTCTTACCATTGTTTACTTAGCGTTTGCTCCTATAAGAACACCCCGACCGAACACTTTTTTCGGCTCGGGTCGCTCGGGGCTCCACAAGGATACACTACTACCTCGCTATTTTGTTTAATATCATATGATGAAATTACTTCCTACCCGATCAAAAGGGTAGTTCGTTCCTTTAATTTGCCTTACGTAGCTTTGCTTTAAAACATACGACGACCGATCGCGACCGCCGCTTCTTTTCCTATGGTTATGAGCAGCTGAGCCTTGCGGGCCACGCCTCGGGCTCCCAAGGTTGCAGCCTACGGGACAAACGGGCAGGTACGAGAAAGAAAGAATAAAAAACAAAATTAAGCTAAGGGAAAACTAAGGAACAAAAGGAACAAGCTTCCCCGAACGGAGTGACTCCATCACCACAGAAAATGAAACCAACTGTAGTCATTAAGTACACAAGAACGTTTACACGGGGGCTCCCCCATGAACTTAAACTTTCTACATTTACTAAACTACTCATACTTTACAAGCTATTGGGCCGGATCGGCGGCATCTGTTGTCGGTACGGCCAGCGAAGGCACAGGCTGCTCGCTCCCAGGCAGGACCACATTCGGCTCGGTCGAAGCCAGGGCGATGTCCACCTTCGACCCAGGCTCCGTGCCATGCTCAGGTTGGGCAACGTCCTCCCAGGGCACGCTTCTGGCCATGTCTTCACGACGGACGTCCATCACCCACTGAGCAGAGACTTGCTCTGCCACCGACCTTGCGTGCGGCAGCAAGCTCTCCCCGATCGATTGGATGTCCTCCATGCTCAAGCCATCAGCGTACCCAATGTAGATAGTGGCAAAGTCCAGGTTCGGATGGTGCGTCGCCACCGAAGTCAACACCCCCGACGCTTCGTAGAACAACCCACTTGTGATGAGGTCCCAGACCGCATCTAGGACCTCCGCCAGCTGGACAGCGGACGCGCTAGTGCTTGGTGCCGACCCGAAGATCTCCGAGACGACCAGCTGGGCAACGTTGTGGATTTGGACAAGTTCCCCCTCGAGTGCACGTCGCTCTTCACGGGACTTGGCCAGCTCCTCTGCATTCCGGCTGAAAGTCGCCTTGACTGCCTCCAGGTCCTACTCCAGCAACTTCACCTTTCCGCCCAGCTCTGAAAGAAGGGCAACAAGCTCAGAAACAGGCTGAAGGAAGAAACCAACACAACGAAAAATAGAAAAGGTACATACCGACGCGGAAGTTCTCAAGGGTGGAGAATTCCTCCACTTGCTGGGCCACCTGCTCACGCAGCCGGCGCTTCGCCTCCTCGCCCCCATCATCACTGGCCTCGAAGCGCGATGAGGACCGCCGCCCTGCCGCACGCAGCAGCCTGCCTATCACCGTTCGGCAGCAGCTGGTACTCTCCTCCTCGCCGTCAGACTCGTCACTGCCGACAGCCGTGGCCTCCTCTGCCTGTCTGACGACGGCTTTGTTAGCATCGCCATTGGCCACCGCTACCGGCTGCAGCTTCTTCCTCTGCTTCCTGCTCCGCTCGTTCCGCGCCTTCTTCTCGTTGCGACCGACGTCCCGGCGCGGCGCTGCTCTGCGCGTTGCCGACGGTGGCCTCCGAGGCCGCCCGTCGCCATCGTTGCTGGTGCTTGTATTCCGCGGCTTCTCTGCCCTTGGTGTCCCTCTCACGTCTCTTGGCTGCCTCGTTGTCGCGGGATCCTCGTCGGTGAAAGCACGGCCCACATGTTGGCGCTTCGCCTTGGTTCCGCCGCCCGCAGCGAATTGTCATAAGCTACTTGCTATATGGAGGCAAAGAAGATCTATGAGGTCCGGACACTGAATTGTCATAAGCTACTTGCTTTAATTAGCTGCAAGGAATTACTTCAAAGATGCTATATTTTGTTTCCTTATTCTTTAATAACCAGACGTTCTAGAAGTTGAAGTTCCTTTCTTTATTATCTACTTGTGGCCTCTTTCTTTGCTTGACTCAGTTTCCTTTTCCTGTTTTTCTCCTCCATTGAAAAGGGAACAGTTTTATCAAACAATCTTGTCAAACCATCATTTATCGCCTATATGATGAAGTGGCTGTGGGCAAGATTGATTGCTGCATTCTCTTGCCTTTACATAATCTGGCGAAGATTCTAGTATACAAGAAAATTCATTCAGCAATCAGGATTTCAAAGGTATATTAATTTTGCTTATATTCTTATTTCTGTGTTGCATCAATGATCCTTGCAATTTTAAGTGTAACCTGAACTTTATTAACACCCACTTAACAAATACTTAATAAATCACCTAGTTTCCGTGACAACTTGCAGGCTGGTATTAGTGGCGGTGGAAGTCTTCCGATGCATGTTGATAAATTTTTTTGAGGTAAGGGTTATCAATAAACTTCTTATTTAAATGTCAGTAGCTTTATCAATGTTCTGCTCTTTCAGGCCATTGGCATTAAAGTACAAAACGGCTATGGTCTTACTGAGACTTCTCCTGTTGTTGCTGCTAGACGACCATTCTGTAATGTAAGATGAGGAAATGCTTGTTTTATTTACTAATTGGATATAGTTTTGCATACTGTTTCCTATTTGTTACATGCGATAAGTCGACAATGCTAAACATTAACTGTGTATGTCGCTTGAAGGTTCTTGGGACAATTGGCCACCCAATAAAGCATACTGAAATCAAGGTTTTCGACATAGAGACTGGTGAGGTTCTCCCAGATGGTTCAAAGGGGATTGTGAAAATTAAAGGACCGCAAGTAATGAAGGGATACTATAAGGTTCTACTTCTTTCTTTGCTGATACAAATCAATTGCCAAATCTAAATTAGAATGCTGATGTTCCATTAACATGTTGCTCGTCGAATTAATTAGTTCTCTGTGGAACACTATTTTAGATTCTCTGTACTTAAAGTCAGCTAAGAATATTCCAGAGGTATTAACAGCCTGATATCTTTGCTACAATAGTTGACAAAATGAGGAGCGGTAGTATTCTTATAATTTCATGTTTTACTTAATATATTAATCCTTCCGTATGGTGTTGATAGACATATCGCCGAAAGTGAAATGCACATTAAGAACCAAGCATCTAAATCTTAGAATCCATGTCTCGGCCCCATGCACAGATTAATGATATTATTTGAGTGTTCAGCTTTCTGGAGGACTCATTTCATAATTTTTTTGTCATTAGAATCCATCGGCTACAAATGAAGCTTTTGACCAAGAGGGTTGGTTCAGCACTGGAGATATAGGTTGGATTGTATGTCACCATGCCATAGGGCCAAGTCGCAAGTGTGGAGGGATGCTTGTTCTTGAAGGGCGTGCAAAGGATACAATAGTCCTCTCTACAGGTTCAGATTATAATTAGTCTCTCCTTTTTCAGAATGTGTACTCTTTTATATTATTAATATATTATTTGTCATTTTTTATGATTCTGTTAGGAAACTTACTGTTTGGTCTTGGATGTTGCACAAAGAAAATCTAGTTGATATCATGTAACTTTTTTACTGACCTTGACCATCTCATTTGTAGGTGAAAATGTTGAACCTGCTCAGATCGAGGAAGCAGCCGGCAGGAGTAACTTGATTAATCAGATAGTTGTGATCGGCCAGGTAAGAGATATGCCCAGCTATAATCATCACTACACTCAATTCAGACTCCTTTATGTGTGGGCACATATCTTTTCTTGATGCAACTAGGGAAATATTCTGAAGAAAAAACCCATGTCATTATCTGAAAACTGTGGTGTTATGGCTACTGCATTGTTCATGCGTTAACAATTTTATTTCCGGCGATGAGATTAGATTTGAACATAGCAATGGTAATTAGATTAGTGCTACTGATGTCACGAAGTTCCTGCCACTGTTCTCTGAATAGGATCAACGGCGTCTTGGTGCCATAATTGTTTCCCAACAATGATGAAGTTCTAGCAGAAGCAAAAAGGAAGTCCATCCTTGGTGAGAATGGCGAACTAGCGAAAGATAAGGTCATGAACATGCTATATGATGAATTGAAAACCTGGTGAGAGTTGCCCGCCCTTCTGTTGTTTTCTCTCTCCCTGTCTCATTCTTCTTGCTGTTGGAAATACTAAGACATGGGTGAAAAGAATTGAAAAGAGGCACATGTGACACTATTTCATGATTTTGATTGATAGTGATGATTCATATGATGATTACAAACAAACATGGGTTTTGGGACGATGTCTTTCTTTGTGTGCACGTGACACTATTTCAGGACTTTGACTTTTTGATTGATGACATCTATCATCAGAGGAAGCATTTAATTATTTCGTTAATAAATTTCAGGACCGCGCATTGCTCTTTCCGTGTCGGGCCAATTATGATTGTCGACGAACCATTTACGGTGGGTTTTCATTCATATTTATAATCGAGAAGCTATCTTTGCATGGAACCTGACAATATTTTTTTTTTCTTCAGATTGACAATGGTCTGATGACACCCACCATGAAAATAAGAAGGGACAAAGTGACAGACAAGTACAGAAGGAAATCGAAGCGTTGTTCAAGTGAGATGCGGAGCGCGTGCGTGTGCTCTAATAGCAGATCTATCTAATAAGAAAATCGAGAGGATGCATCCATCTGATTGAAACAAGTTCTTTTGGATAAATGATGAATAAGCAGGTTACTACACTATTAGATGTATGTGTGTACATGCAATAAGTGACTGGTCAAACTCAAAACGCATTGCTAACCCTCCGACTTTACAGCGATCTTGCTCTGCGATTAAAAACTGATGCTGTCTATTGAGGTAGTACAGTAATAATCTGCTATGAACTATATGATCGTCATACAGCTATGGTCATGTTGCGGTGTGAGCCGGCGCAGCAGCATGCACCCAGAAGGCGATGAGGACCGCCGCCACTGCCGCACGCAGCAGCCTGCCTATCACCGTCCGGCAGCAGCTGGTACTCTCCTCCTCGCCGTCAGACTCGTCACTGCCGACAGCCGTGGCCTCCTCTGCCTGTACGACGACGGCTTTGTTAGCATCGCCATTGGCCACCGCTACCGGCTGCAGCTTCTTCCTCTGCTTCCTGCTCCGCTCGTTCCGCGCCTTCTTCTCGTTGCGACCGTACGTCCCGGCGGCGCTGCTCTGCGCGTTGCCGACGGCGGCCTCCGAGGCCGCCGTCGCCATCGTCTGCTGGTGCTTGTATTCCGTGGCTTCTCTGCCCTTGGTGTCCCTCTCAAGTCTCTTGGCTGCCTCGTTGTCGCCGGGATCATCGTCGGCGAGCACGGCCCACATGTTGGCGCTCGCCTTGGTTCCGCCGCCCGCAGCCGCTGCCATGTCGCCGGCGGGTCGATTGAGCGATCCAATCCAATCCATGGCAACGACGCGATCTACTCCTATATAGTACAGTAACTACCAATAACGAACACAGCATCCATCAGAGTTTCCTTTTCGAGTACAAAACGGCAACCGTACGTGTCCATCGGAGTTTGTGTAGCCCGACGTTTTCTCTTCGATCGAACGGCGTGGCACAGATCTCCCAGCCCGGTCTGTACGGCGTATGCTTCGGATCCTGCCTGCGTACATACAGACACTTGCAAGCTCTGCAACGTGTCGATGTACGTGTACGTACGTATTTGCATACAGTCGGAATCCAATGCAAATACCAACCCGGACCTTCTTGGAACTGGAACTGGAACTGGAAGAGAGAAGAGAGAGTCAGGGTCACGGTCCTCACGGAAGGCTTCTTTTCTCGAACCCAGGCATGATTTTTTCCTTTGCTGAATAAAAAAAAAAATGGACTGTATCTTTTATTAATTATAAGAAAATCTATAAAATAGTATATACTAGGTAGCGTGCCCGTGCGTTGCTACGGGATAGCTAACAATTTATACTAAAAACACATGAATCGCACGATAAGATAACAATACTGTAAAAATTAAATATCAACGTGTTAAACCAAAAAGCAAAGTTTGTGAAATAAACATACTCCGTTCTAATCTCCATGACGACGGTTCATACACAAAAGAAATAAATGCAGAGGGAACAGAATATCCAAAGAAGCATGCATGTGAATGTTTTTTTAACCTACATGCTTGTGAACAGGGCTTTGAGAATAGAGAAGTGGTAAATGTCATATAATTACAAACAAAGGTGTACTTGGCTAGAAATATATAGTCAGTTTCATTCACTAAAGGAAGTACCAAGGAAGAATGACCTAGAAATATGCACCAGACTATAACACCCTGTGGTAATACATTATTTTTGGAAAATAATAGATCATTAGAGTACAATAGTAAATCCATTTGAAACAGACATTTCTAGGTCGACAAAAATGGAGTTTTAAGCCTCTAGCACATTTCAATCCTCTTAGCAACAGGTCTACCAAAAATGGAGTTTTAAGCCTCTAGCCCCTTTCAGTCCTCTAGCAGCAGAAAACACACATCAGCAGCAACCTATTTTCCATTACATCTTCATTGAATTATGCTGCACTACAACTTAAGGAATTTGAAAACACTTTTAAAACACTTTTCCGGCAAGTGGCTCGTCATGTTACGTGAAGAAGATGTGCGAAATTTGATGCGAGTTCGTGGATAGAGACTCAACATACACCAAATACCATGAATAACATTTTTCGAAGCACTAGATTACAATATTCCATGCACTTGCAGTTCAAATTTGAATTAGTCGAAAAAATTCAACGAAACAAAACTAATTAGGGAAATAAAGTCAAAAAACTAAAAATTGTCCCAACTTTTGAAATGGAGTTTTAATTACTGTAGCAAGGCCACAGAAAAAAAAATGGGGAGAAAAAAACAAAAAAAAAATAATTTGCCGAGTGCCAACCTTGGCACTCGGCAAAGAAGCCTTTGTCGAGCGCCAGGTCATAGGGCGCTCGGCAAAGAATTTTTTAAAAAAAATAAAAAAACATTTGCCGAGTGCCGCTGGGCCTGGCACTCGCAAATCTTTCAACCTAAAGGCCCAAAATGGGCCGGCCCAACCCCACCCCCTCCTCACTCGTCTCCCACCCGCCCCCGCGTCGCCGCGCCACCGCCGCCGACCCCCTGCCCCCGTCCCGGCGGCCTTCGCCCAGGCCCGGCAGTGCCCGCCCACCCAGTGGCCAGCGCCCGCGCCCGGGTGGTCCGGCCGCCGCCCCGAGGCTCGCGCTTGGCGCCTGGCTCCGAGCTCCCCGGGGACAGCGACCCGGTCGGCCCCGAGCTCCCCCGCCGGCCCCGAGCTCCATCGGCCCCGCCGTGCCCTGCGGCCGGCCAGCAGAGGGAGAAGGAGAGGAGCAAGAGGAAGAAAGAGAAGGGGGAGGAGGAAGAAGAGGAAGGTGCCGACCCGACCGCCCGTCGATCCTCGCGCCGTTCCGACCGCCCGTCGATCCTCGTGCCGTTCCGACCGCCCATTGATCCTCGCGCCGTTCCGACTGCCCGTCGATCCTCGCGCCGTTCTGACCGCCCATCGATCCTCGCGCCGTTCCGACCGCCCGTTGATCCTCGCGCTGCTGCGGTCATCCCCGCCGTCGTCGTCGGCCCTCGCTCTTGCCGTTCTTGCCGCCAAGGTAAGCCCTACCCTTGTAGTGTTAGTAGTAGTAGTAGTAGTTAGTAGTGTTAGTAGTAGTTAGTTGTAGTGTTAGTAGTAGTAGTTAGTAGTGTTAGTTGTAGTGTTAGTTGTAGTAGTTAGTAGTGTTAGTTGTAGGGTTAGTAGTAGTAGTTAGTAAATAGTAGTAGTTAGTAAGTAGTAGTGGTTGTTAGTAGTAGTTATTAGTGTTAGTTGTAGGCTTAGTAGTAGTAGTAGTTAGTAAATAGTAGTAGTTAGTAAGTAGTAGTGGTTAGTAGTAGTAGTTGTTAATAGTTAAGTAGTTCTTAGTATTAGTATTGTTAGTAGTTAAGTAGTTGTTAGTAGTAGTGTTAGTAGTAGTTGTAGGGTTAGTAGTCATTGTTGTTGTACTACTTCAATACTTTCATCTGCATGGAAAGAGAACTAAAGTACATGGCTCCTCTTGATATATTGGTGGTTGTTGGCCTTCGTGCTCATGTTTGGTATATATGTGGTTGTTGGCCTTTGTGCCATGTTTTTGCAGTTTTGGGAACCTCCCGTGCGTGGGAGGTGCTGCCAAAATTTTGAGTCGACGCTAACCATTTTGCCCTTTTTGCGGGAGGACCTGTGGGAGGGACTCGGCAACCCCGATCGTCTTCGTCGGGCGCACTGGTCTTCCCTGCACTGCGTCGACTCGCCATGCTGCACCGACTCTCCACCGCCCCACTACCACGACCTCACTGGCACCCCTAGGTATAACCCCTCTATCCGTATGTGGTCTTTGGTTGCGTAACCTAGTTAGGTGTCTCCCGTCCCGAAAGATATACGATTGGAGGTATCTGACTCTTTTGTATATCTGTGACCGTATCTGTTTCGGATTGTCCATGTTTTTTGGACAGCCCGCGGATGCGTAGATGGGTTAGTTTCCATGGTCCGCTCCGGTCCGAGATGGTGTTTTGGCATCACCCCCTATTGTTCTCCAGATACACACTCTCCCTTGCAGGACGTGCATTGGGAGAACAGCGGGGAGGTGCTGCCGAAATTCTCTCTCGGATAGGGAGCGGAGCATGGAAACTAACCACATCTGTGCATCCGCGGGTGGGATTAGGACCTATCCTCACCTATTAGAGAGTAGGAACACCGCGTAGATGCAATTGATGGTTACATTACTATGTGCTATATATGTGGAAGGATGGAAGACCGTCAGTGGATGTACACGGACCGGAGAAGCAGGAATGACTTTGACATTGAGTGGGTGAATGGGACATATGCTTTCTTGGAACATGCATGGAGCTCGGGTGTAGCTAAAGGACATTCTAAACTTTGGTGTCCCTGTAGCAAATGTGACAACAACAGGAGGGTAGACAAGGTGACCATGGGTAAACATCTTGTGTACAATGGTTATACGGCTGGCTACCACCGGTGGATCCACCATGGTGAAGCAGATCGTATAAGAGCGGAGGTGGTGAGACCACGCCTCGAGGCTTTTGATGATGATGCCGAAGTAGCAGATATGCTAGATGACACTCACCAAGCTCACTTCGCAGAAGGACGTGAGAAGGAGGAGATGGAGGAAGCCGCTAAGGCCTTCTACGAAATGTTGGAATCGGCACAGAAACCCCTTCATGAGAGTATAACGGTTTCTCAGCTGGATGCCATTTGACGTGTTATGGGGTTGAAGGCCGAGTTAAATCTGAGTCGCAAAGGCTTTGATAAGATGTTGGCCGTGTTTGGCAGCATGCTACCGGAGAAGCACATTCTGCCGAAGAACTTGCACGAGTCACAGAAACTACTTTGTATGCTTAAGATACCATATGACAAGATACATGTTTGTCCGAAGGGGTGCGTCTTATTTAGGAAAGATCACAAGGATGCAAAGTACTGTCCGAAGTGTAAATCCTCAAGGTACCTAGAGGTAGACTCTGGAGATGGCCAGAAGAGGCAGCTTTCGATCCCCGCGAAAGTCCTACGGCACCTTCCGTTTGTGCCGAGGATCCAACGACTTTTCATGACCGAGGAATCCGTGAAACAGATGACATGGCATAAAGAAGGTGTACGGTACAAGCCATGGACGATGGTGCATCCGTCCGATGCCGAAGCATGGACGTACTTTAATGACAAACATCCTGACAAAGAAGCTGAGGCTCGTTATGTACGTGTCGCGCTGGCAACAGATGGGTTCAATCCTTATGGACAGTTGTCTGCCCCATACACATGTTGGCCCGTGTTTGTTATCCCCCTGAATCTCCCCCCGGCATCTCCTTTCAACGGCATAACGTCTTCTTGTCGTTGATAATTCCTGGACACCCGGGGAGTAATATGGGTGTGTACATGGAGCCTATGATTGATGAATTGATCGACGCTTGGGAGAAGGGGGTATGGACATACGACCGAGCTACAAAATCATCCTTCAAGATGCATGTTTGGTACCACTACTCCCTGCATGACTTCCTGGCGTATGGGTTATTCGCCGCCTGGTGTGTCCACAGGAAGTTCTCGTGCCCAATATGCAAGGAAGCTGTGAAGTTCATTTGGTTGAAGAAGGGTGGCAAGTATTCGTCGTTCGACAGGCATCGTCAATTCCTCCCTTCTAACCATCCATTCAGACAAGACATCAAGAACTTTATGAAAGGTGTTGCAGTGATAGACCCTAAACCGCGCATGAAGAGTGGTGCTGAGGTGCGTGCTCAGATAGATGCTCTCATGCCCAATGAAGGAGGTGGTTTTGTGGGATATGGTGAGGAACATATGTGGACTCATAAGTCCGGCTTGACGAGGCTCCCCTATTTTGATGACCTTCTTCTGTCACATAACATTGATGCAATGCACATCGAAAAGAATATCACCGCGGCACCTTTAGTCCCGAGATCGTTGTCCCGGCGCGGTAACCGGGACTAAAGGCCGTTACCGCTCGAGACAACAAATCCATTCTGTAGTAGTGCGACAGCCGTGGCCTCCTCTGCCTGTACGACGACGGCTTTGTTAGCATCGCCATTGGCCACCGCTACCGGCTGCAGCTTCTTCCTCTGCTTCCTGCTCCGCTCGTTCCGCGCCTTCTTCTCGTTGCGACCGTACGTCCCGGCGGCGCTGCTCTGCGCGTTGCCGACGGCGGCCTCCGAGGCCGCCGTCGCCATCGTCTGCTGGTGCTTGTATTCCGTGGCTTCTCTGCCCTTGGTGTCCCTCTCAAGTCTCTTGGCTGCCTCGTTGTCGCCGGGATCATCGTCGGCGAGCACGGCCCACATGTTGGCGCTCGCCTTGGTTCCGCCGCCCGCAGCCGCTGCCATGTCGCCGGCGGGTCGAGCGAGCGATCCAATCCAATCCATGGCAACGACGCGATCTACTCCTATATAGTACAGTAACTACCAATAACGAACACAGCATCCATCAGAGTTTCCTTTTCGAGTACAAAACGGCAACCGTACGTGTCGATCGGAGTTTGTGTAGCCCGACGTTTTCTCTTCGATAGAACGGCGTGGCACAGATCTCCCAGCCCGGTCTGTACGGCGTATGCTTCGGATCCTGCCTGCGTACATACAGACACTTGCAAGCTCTGCAACGTGTCGATGTACGTGTACGTACGTATTTGCATACAGTCGGAATCCAATGCAAATACCAACCCGGACCGACTTGGAACTGGAAGAGAGGAGAGAGAAAGTCAGGGTCACGGTCCTCACGGAAGGCATCTTTTCTCGAACCCAGGCATGATTTTTTTCTTGATTGCTGAATAAAAAAAATGTACTGTGTCTTTTATTAATTATAAAAAAATCTATAAAATAGTATATATTAATATACGACGCTAACTCGAATTGATAAGTGAGCTGAAAACTCCTAGAAGACCCACACCAGGCGCGTATCTCTACTATAATGGACCAATCAAAATTATAACCTAGGAGTGTATCTCTACTAAAATGGACCAATCAAAATTATACCCTAAGCGCGTATCTCTCCAAATCCGCCGTCAAATCCCACCCTAGGTCGCCCACCACAGCGCAACCGCCACCATCCGCGTCGGCTGGCGGTGAGGCGGCGCCTCCGTCGCCGTTGTCGGCCGCCGCCGGCGTGGCGCCGTCGAAGAACGCGGCGATGGCGGAGCTCAAGTCGCGTGCGTGCTCACGCGCTTCGCCAATCTCTCGGACCGCGACACGCACCACATCGCCGTCGAGGAGCTGGACCGCATCATCGCGCGCAACGCCGCCGTCGACCGACGTCGTGCCCATGCTACTCAACGCGCCGGCATCCGACTCCCGGGGCTCGCCTCCCGGCCAGGCGCGAAGTCGCCGCGCCTCGCCACGCCACTTCTGCTGCGTCGATCCGGACGCGCCGCACCTCCACAAGGTGCTCGCCCACCTTGCGCTGGCGGCTCAAGGACCCGGCATCCGACACCTCCCGCTTGTGACGCGTGCCGAGACGTCGCGGGCCAGCTCGTGGCGATGTACCTCCGCCCTCTGCCGGCTTCCGGCGTTGCCGAGGCGGGCAATGCGACCGCGTGATTGTTTCGTGAAGCCGTTGTTCGAGGTGATGGGGAGCTGAGCAAGGCGGTGCGAGGTGGGGCGGCCGCATGCTTGGCCAAAGTGGTGGAAAGGCGGGGCTGGGCAGTGCCATCGGGATGTTTGGGAAGCTCGGTCCTAGGATTTGCAAGTTGCTCGGTGGGCGAGGGGCGACAAAGACGCAACTCATGGGCTGGCCCAAATACGAGCGACAGCCGGGAGTGATCAATCTCGACCGGAAGGCCGGCCGAGGAGGAACAACGCTCGTTCCCAACTCCGTCCCACCTCTCCGACCGGAGCGCGCTTCGGTCTCTAGCCCCCTCCGGATGGCCTCTCCGACCGGAAGGCTCGCCAGCACCGCTTCGACTCGACCACTGTACTCTTGACCGGGATCGTAATCCCACACTCCTTTGCTCTTCTCCGACTGGCGCAACCAGAGTCGACTGGGACCAGCCCACCGGGGACGCCCGCTCGTTAGAGACCAGGAAACATCCGGAGAAAAGTAAAGCAGGGCGCACAAGTCAAACCGCAATACAGGGACCATACCCTGCGCACCTGTCAGGCAATACCCTGCGACCCTCCCTGACACAACAGTATTGTAGGCGCCGACATTTTCCCCTCTGAGATGTGGGCGCCATTGACTCCCATACGATAAGGCACCCCACATGCCTGCGGGCATCGGCAGTGTTGTAGGCGCCGGCATTTACCGTACCAAGTGAACATGGTAAAACTCCTCAACAAAGCCTCTGAGCATCAACAGTATAGCAGGTACCGACATCTGCCATACCCGAACAAGACGACGAAACCTCCCATGCGCCTCCGACACTCAACAGTATTGTGGGTGCCTACCTTATCCCGTGCCATCGGCGTGGGCAACAAGGCTCAGTAGCATACGTACTCTCTCCCTCTCCCTTGTAAGGCCATCCCCTTTATCTATAAAAGGGGATGCGCCCTCTCCCTAAAGGAGATAGTTCTCTTCAGTTAACCCAAGTCCATTCAAGTGATTCTAGATTTATTAGATCGATCAAGTTTACTAGTACACAACCACAGAACCGCCAGGTTTGAACCACGAGCACACGCTTGAACACTTAGCTCATAGCGGGGCTCATGTCGTTTTTGGTCCCTCTGACCGGAGTCCGACCGGACCTCTTGTACCCCCCCCTATCTTTCTCCTTCTCGTTTGTAACCCCACTGCGAACTTCGAGCACCTGGGCTCAGGAATAAAGTCATCGACCGACTCAAACTGGACGTAGGGCACGCGTTTCGAACCCGATATAAACCTGTGTCATTGAGTATAGGCCACCTCCGATCACAACGTACGGCAAAACTACAAATATTCACTTGTTGGTCACTTTCTGCACCGACAGTTGGCGCCGTCCGTGGGGAAGACGTTGTACGTTCAACACTTTTTGGTTATCGAATGGCCCACTTTTCCGCCACCCTCGCCGTGGTGGGCTCAGGCGATACAATTCGCTTCGGCTCACTGGAGTTTCCCGCGGTCCCACCTGTTGGGACGTGGGTTCCACCCATCTTCGAGCCATCCCAGGCCTTCCTCCTCGGAAGACTGGACTTCGTTGCCGACCGGCTCGGCGTACTACACCTCCGCGAGGAGGCACTCGTTTCGGCACCCATCGGAGGGGCGCCCTTCATCGGCTCCGGGCGCACGACTTTGACGACGCGGCATCCGCGCTTCATTCCGAGCAAACTCTCTGCTCAAACCCCGCTGTGAGTAATGTACATGCTGTTATTTACTTGCTATTTTCTATCTTTCGCCAATTACCCGGAGGGATGCCGTTGTCCCGTTGCGGCGCGCTTTACGGCCGGTCCCCCTGACCTCGTGTCTCCCACGGACGCAGCGTCGCCTGAGGGCTCCAAAAGATGCGGCGCCGCCCGTCTCACGTCACGAATTCGTGGGGATGGCGAGCTACGCCCCACCTATTTCCTCGACCTCATGGATGACGATGTCAGGAGTGACGGCTCCAGCATCGATGACGTGGCACCTAGCCACCATCCATCCCGGGAGTGCGCTATGGCGGACGCTCCAGGATAGCCACCAGAGGTAATGGAGTCCTGCGGACTCACGCCCCTCTAGACCCTCATGCGGAGACCCCGAGCTCACACGTGAGCACGGGAGCACCACCTCGACAACGATGGTTGCATCACCCATCGATCGCCTGGCGCTTTCGGTGCACCACGCAGCGCGCCCGTGCGCATAGACGGCGAAGCGGTGCCCGGGTCGCACTCGTCGGGTCCAACACAACACCATGGACTGGGGGAATGATCCCCCACAGTTCGCTCGGGCCAATCAGAACATCGCCGCCGTGGCAATGCTTCTGTGTGGCCTGTCCGAGCCGAACGACCCTCATGAACAGCAATCCACCGGAACCTCCGGGCACTAGTGGAGACCACCGCCCGTTCAACACGTGGAGAAACCAGATCGTGACGCCGACTCGTGGCCTCGCTCCCCATCAGGGGAATGGGGACGCAGCAGATGGGTCGCTCCACCCGATCACCGCTACAATCGCCGAGCGCGGCATAGGAGGCCGCATTGGCACCTCATCTTGACTTGACGACCGTTCCGCACCGACCGCCTGTATACGCGCCGCTCGGACCGAACCAATACACACGCGCGCCAGCGACCAGAGTCCCAGCCCTGATGGCCCGGGACCACGGACCTTTGTCCAATGCCTCCAGCAAGCGCCGCTCCTGCCGTGCTCCAACGGAGGCCGGGGCAAAGGCAAGGCCAAGCGTCAGGATCAGGACGAGGGCCCCTCCACGCAGAGGGGGAAAAAGAACAGAAAGGATTGCCGCCGACCGACCAACTCCGCGTTGGGTGCCACGACTGATCACGCGGGCACACGGTTTCAAGAGACCACACAGGCCACTTCCACGAACTCATGGAGAGCCCTTGCACCAACCACGACTACCCCATCAAACACCTCAACAAGGATCGCCAACTCCTCAAGCGCCTTCGGCAAACCCGGCGGGCCAAAGGAAGAAAAGCGAAGAAGCAGAGACCGAGAAAGGGGACGAGCGGGCAAGGATCCCGGACGACTAAAGGTTGAAGTGATTCGATGGGGACGCCACCGATGAAGGACAACAACGACGACATCCTCACCGAACACTTGGAACAGCTATGTTATTTTTTCTTCTCCTAAATTTCAGTCTTACCATTGTTTACTTAGCGTTTGCTCCTATAAGAACACCCCGACCGAACACTTTTTTCGGCTCGGGTCGCTCGGGGCTCCACAAGGATACACTACTACCTCGCTATTTTGTTTAATATCATATGATGAAATTACTTCCTACCCGATCAAAAGGGTAGTTCGTTCCTTTAATTTGCCTTACGTAGCTTTGCTTTAAAACATTTCGACCGATCGCACCGCCGCTTTTCCTATGGTTATGAGTAGCAATTTGAGCCTTGCGGGCCACGCCCGGGCTCCCAAGGTTGCGACCCTCACGGGACAAGCGGGCAAGGTGTACGAGAAAGAAAGAATAAAAACAAAATTAAGCTAAAGGAAAACTAAGGAACAAAAGGAACAAGCTTCCCGAACGGAGTGACTCCATCACCACGAAAATGAAACCAATCAGTAGTCATTAAGTACACAAGAACGTTTACACGGGGCTCCCCATGAACTTAAACTTTCTACATTTACTAAACTACTCATACTTTACAAGCTATTGGGCCGGATCGGCGGCATCTGTTGTCGTCAGACGCCAGTGAAGGCACAGTGCTCGCTCCCAGGCGGGACCACATTCGGCTCGGTCGAAGCCGGGGCGATGTCCACCTTCGACCGAGCTCCGTGCCATGCTCAGTTGGGCAACGTCCTCCTGTGGCACGCTTCGCCATGTCTTCACGACGGACGTCCATCACCCATCGAAAGCAGAGACTTGCTCGCCACCGACCTTGCGCGTATGGCGGCAGCAAGCTCTCCCGATCGATTGGATGTCCTCCGTGCTCAAGCCATCAGCGTACCCACTGTAGATAGTGGCAAAGTCCAGGTTCGGATGGTGCGTCGCCACCGAAGTCAACACCCCCGACGCTTCGTAGAACAACCCACTTGTGATGAGGTCCCTGATCGCATCTAGGACCTCCGCCACCGATTTGGGCCGACGGCGCTAGTGCTTGGTGCCGACCCGAAGATCTCCGAGACGACCAGCTGGGCAACGTTGTGGATTTGGACAAGTTCCCCCTCGAGTGCACGTCGCTCTTCACGGGACTTGGCCAGCTCCTCTGCATTCCGGCTGAAAGTCGCCTTGACTGCCTCCAGGTCCTACTCCAGCAACTTCACCTTTCCGCCCAGCTCTGAAAGAAGGGCAACAAGCTCAGAAACAGGCTGAAGGAAGAAACCAACACAACGAAAAATAGAAAAGGTACATACCGACGCGGAAGTTCTCAAGGGTGGAGAATTCCTCCGCTTGCTGGGCCACCTGCTCACGCAGCCCGGCGCTCGCCTCCTCCGTCCCCATCACCTGGCCTCGAAGCGCGATGAGGACCGCCGCCACTGCCGCACGCAGCAGCCTGCCTATCACCGTTCGGCAGCAGCTGGTACTCTCCTCCTCGCCGTCAGACTCGTCACTGCCGACAGCCGTGGCCTCCTCTGCCTGTACGACGACGGCTTTGTTAGCATCGCCATTGGCCACCGCTACCGGCTGCAGCTTCTTCCTCTGCTTCCTGCTCCGCTCGTTCCGCGCCTTCTTCTCGTTGCGACCGTACGTCCCGGCGGCGCTGCTCTGCGCGTTGCCGACGGTGGCCTCCGAGGCCGCCGTCGCCATCGTTTGCTGGTGCTTGTATTCCGCGGCTTCTCTGCCCTTGGTGTCCCTCTCACGTCTCTTGGCTGCCTCGTTGTCGCGGGATCCTCGTCGTGAGCACGGCCCACATGTTGGCTTCGCCTTGGTTCCGCCGCCCGCAGCCGAATTGTCATAAGCTACTTGCTATATATGGAGGCAAAGAAGATCTATGAGGTCCGGACACTGAATTGTCATAAGCTACTTGCTTTAATTAGCTGCAAGGAATTACTTCAAAGATGCTATATTTTGTTTCCTTATTCTTTAATAACCAGACGTTCTAGAAGTTGAAGTTCCTTTCTTTATTATCTACTTGTGGCTCTCTTTCTTTGCTTGACTCAGTTTCCTTTTCCTGTTTTTCTCCTCCATTGAAAAGGGAACAGTTTTATCAAACAATCTTGTCAAACCATCATTTATCGCCTATATGATGAAGTGGCTGTGGGCAAGATTGATTGCTGCATTCTCTTGCCTTTACATAATCTGGCGAAGATTCTAGTATACAAGAAAATTCATTCAGCAATCGGGATTTCAAAGGTATATTAATTTTGCTTATATTCTTATTTCTGTGTTGCATCAATGATCCTTGCAATTTTAAGTGTAACCTGAACTTTATTAACACCCACTTAACAAATACTTAATAAATCACCTAGTTTCCGTGACAACTTGCAGGCTGGTATTAGTGGCGGTGGAAGTCTTCCGATGCATGTTGATAAATTTTTTTGAGGTAAGGGTTATCAATAAACTTCTTATTTAAATGTCAGTAGCTTTATCAATGTTCTGCTCTTTCAGGCCATTGGCATTAAAGTACAAAACGGCTATGGTCTTACTGAGACTTCTCCTGTTGTTGCTGCTAGACGACCATTCTGTAATGTAAGATGAGGAAATGCTTGTTTTATTTACTAATTGGATATAGTTTTGCATACTGTTTCCTATTTGTTACATGCGATAAGTCGACAATGCTAAACATTAACTGTGTATGTCGCTTGAAGGTTCTTGGGACAATTGGCCACCCAATAAAGCATACTGAAATCAAGGTTTTCGACATAGAGACTGGTGAGGTTCTCCCAGATGGTTCAAAGGGATTGTGAAAATTAAAGGACCGCAAGTAATGAAGGGATACTATAAGGTTCTACTTCTTTCTTTGCTGATACAAATCAATTGCCAAATCTAAATTAGAATGCTGATGTTCCATTAACATGTTGCTCGTCGAATTAATTAGTTCTCTGTGGAACACTATTTTAGATTCTCTGTACTTAAAGTCAGCTAAGAATATTCCAGAGGTATTAACAGCCTGATATCTTTGCTACAATAGTTGACAAAATGAGGAGCGGTAGTATTCTTATAATTTCATGTTTTACTTAATATATTAATCCTTCCGTATGGTGTTGATAGACATATCGCCGAAAGTGAAATGCACATTAAGAACCAAGCATCTAAATCTTAGAATCCATGTCTCGGCCCCATGCACAGATTAATGATATTATTTGAGTGTTCAGCTTTCTGGAGGACTCATTTCATAATTTTTTTGTCATTAGAATCCATCGGCTACAAATGAAGCTTTTGACCAAGAGGGTTGGTTCAGCACTGGAGATATAGGTTGGATTGTATGTCACCATGCCATAGGGCCAAGTCGCAAGTGTGGAGGGATGCTTGTTCTTGAAGGGCGTGCAAAGGATACAATAGTCCTCTCTACAGGTTCAGATTATAATTAGTCTCTCCTTTTTCAGAATGTGTACTCTTTTTATATTATTAATATATTATTTGTCATTTTTTTATGATTCTGTTAGGAAACTTACTGTTTGGTCTTGGATGTTGCACAAAGAAAATCTAGTTGATATCATGTAACTTTTTTACTGACCTTGACCATCTCATTTGTAGGTGAAAATGTTGAACCTGCTCAGATCGAGGAAGCAGCCGGCAGGAGTAACTTGATTAATCAGATAGTTGTGATCGGCCAGGTAAGAGATATGCCCAGCTATAATCATCACTACACTCAATTCAGACTCCTTTATGTGTGGGCACATATCTTTTTCTTGATGCAACTAGGGAAATATTCTGAAGAAAAACCCATGTCATTATCTGAAACTGTGGTGTTATGGCTACTGCATTGTTCATGCGTTAACAATTTTATTTCCCGGCGATGAGATTAGATTTGAACATAGCAATGGTAATTAGATTAGTGCTACTGATGTCACGAAGTTCCTGCCACTGTTCTCTGAATAGGATCAACGGCGTCTTGGTGCCATAATTGTTCCCAACAATGATGAAGTTCTAGCAGAAGCAAAAAGGAAGTCCATCCTTGGTGAGAATGGCGAACTAGCGAAAGATAAGGTCATGAACATGCTATATGATGAATTGAAAACCTGGTGAGAGTTGCCCGCCCTTCTGTTGTTTCTCTCTCTCCCTGTCTCATTCTTCTTGCTGTTGGAAATACTAAGACATGGGTGAAAAGAATTGAAAAGAGGCACATGTGACACTATTTCATGATTTTGATTGATAGTGATGATTCATATGATGATTACAAACAAACATGGGTTTTTGGGACGATGTCTTTCTTTGTGTGCACGTGACACTATTTCAGGACTTTGACTTTTTGATTGATGACATCTATCATCAGAGGAAGCATTTAATTATTTCGTTAATAAATTTCAGGACCGCGCATTGCTCTTTCCGTGTCGGGCCAATTATGATTGTCGACGAACCATTTACGGTGGGTTTTCATTCATATTTATAATCGAGAAGCTATCTTTGCATGGAACCTGACAATATTTTTTTTCTTCAGATTGACAATGGTCTGATGACACCCACCATGAAAATAAGAAGGGACAAAGTGACAGACAAGTACAGAAGGGAAATCGAAGCGTTGTTCAAGTGAGATGCGGAGCGCGTGCGTGTGCTCTAATAGCAGATCTATCTAATAAGAAAATCGAGAGAGGATGCATCCATCTGATTGAAACAAGTTCTTTTGGATAAATGATGAATAAGCAGGTTACTACACTATTAGATGTATGTGTGTACATGCAATAAGTGACTGGTCAAACTCAAAACGCATTGCTAACCCTCCGACTTTACAGCGATCTTGCTCTGCGATTAAAAACTGATGCTGTCTATTGAGGTAGTACAGTAATAATCTGCTATGAACTATATGATCGTCATACAGCTATGGTCATGTTGCGGTGTGAGCCGGCGCAGCAGCATGCACCCAGAAGGCGATGAGGACCGCCGCCACTGCCGCACGCAGCAGCCTGCCTATCACCGTCCGGCAGCAGCTGGTACTCTCCTCCTCGCCGTCAGACTCGTCACTGCCGACAGCCGTGGCCTCCTCTGCCTGTACGACGACGGCTTTGTTAGCATCGCCATTGGCCTGTACGTCCCGGCGGCGCTGCTCTGCGCGTTGCCGACGGCGGCCTCCGAGGCCGCCGTCGCCATCGTCTGCTGGTGCTTGTATTCCGTGGCTTCTCTGCCCTTGGTGTCCCTCTCAAGTCTCTTGGCTGCCTCGTTGTCGCCGGGATCATCGTCGGCGAGCACGGCCCACATGTTGGCGCTCGCCTTGGTTCCGCCGCCCGCAGCCGCTGCCATGTCGCCGGCGGGTCGATTGAGCGATCCAATCCAATCCATGGCAACGACGCGATCTACTCCTATATAGTACAGTAACTACCAATAACGAACACAGCATCCATCAGAGTTTCCTTTTCGAGTACAAAACGGCAACCGTACGTGTCCATCGGAGTTTGTGTAGCCCGACGTTTTCTCTTCGATCGAACGGCGTGGCACAGATCTCCCAGCCCGGTCTGTACGGCGTATGCTTCGGATCCTGCCTGCGTACATACAGACACTTGCAAGCTCTGCAACGTGTCGATGTACGTGTACGTACGTATTTGCATACAGTCGGAATCCAATGCAAATACCAACCCGGACCTTCTTGGAACTGGAACTGGAACTGGAAGAGAGAAGAGAGAGTCAGGGTCACGGTCCTCACGGAAGGCTTCTTTTCTCGAACCCAGGCATGATTTTTTCCTTTGCTGAATAAAAAAAAATGGACTGTATCTTTTATTAATTATAAGAAAATCTATAAAATAGTATATACTAGGTAAGCGTGTCGTGCGTTGCTACGGGATAGCTAACAATTTATACTAAAAACACATGAATCGCACGATAAGATAACAATACTGTAAAAATTAAATATCAACGTGTTAAACCAAAAAGCAAAGTTTGTGAAATAAACATACTCCGTTCTAATCTCCATGACGACGGTTCATACACAAAAGAAATAAATGCAGAGGGAACAGAATATCCAAAGAAGCATGCATGTGAATGTTTTTTTAACCTACATGCTTGTGAACAGGGCTTTGAGAATAGAGAAGTGGTAAATGTCATATAATTACAAACAAAGGTGTACTTGGCTAGAAATATATAGTCAGTTTCATTCACTAAAGGAAGTACCAAGGAAGAATGACCTAGAAATATGCACCAGACTATAACACCCTGTGGTAATACATTATTTTTGGAAAATAATAGATCATTAGAGTACAATAGTAAATCGACGAAACAGACATTTCTAGGTCGACAAAAATGGAGTTTTAAGCCTCTAGCACATTTCAATCCTCTTAGCAACAGGTCTACCAAAATGGAGTTTTAAGCCTCTAGCCCCTTTCAGTCCTCTAGCAGCAGAAAACACACATCAGCAGCAACCTATTTTCCATTACATCTTCATTGAATTATGCTGCACTACAACTTAAGGAATTTGAAAACACTTTTAAAACACTTTTCCGGCAAGTGGCTCGTCATGTTACGTGAAGAAGATGTGCGAAATTTGATGCGAGTTCGTGGATAGAGACTCAACATACACCAAATACCATGAATAACATTTTTCGAAGCACTAGATTACAATATTCCATGCACTTGCAGTTCAAATTTGAATTAGTCGAAAAAATTCAACGAAACAAAACTAATTAGGGAAATAAAGTCAAAAAACTAAAAATTGTCCCAACTTTTGAAATGGAGTTTTAATTACTGTAGCAAGGCCACAGAAAAAAAAATGGGGAGAAAAAAAAAAAAAAATAATTTGCCGAGTGCCAACCTTGGCACTTTCAGAAAGAAGTTTTGTCGAGCGCCAGTCATAGGGCTTCGCAAAAAATTTAAAAAAAATAAAAAACATTTGCCGAAAGTGTCACTGGGCCCTGCACTCGCAAATCTTTCAACCTAAAGGCCCAAAATGGGCGGGCCCAACCCCACCCCTCCTCACTGTCTCCCACCCGCCCGCGTGCCGCTGGCCGCCACACGACCGCCCTGCCCCTCGCGTCCGCCGGCGCGCCGCCCGGGCCCGGCCGGTGCTCCCCCCAGCCCAGCCCCAAGCGGCCAGCGCCCGCCCTGGTCCCCGCCGCCGCCGCCCAGAGCGCTCGCCGGCGCCTGGCTCCGAGCTCCCCGGGGACAGCGACCGGTCGGCCCCGAAGCCCCCCTGGCTGCCCCGAAGCTCCATCGGCCCCCACCGTGCCTGGGCCGGCCAGCAGAGGGAGAAGGAGAGGAGCAAGAGGAAGAAAGAGAAGGGGAGGAGGAAGAAGAGGAAGGTGCCGACCGACCGCCCGTCGATCCTCAAGCCGTTGTCCGACCGCCCGTCGATCCTCGTGGCTGTTCCGACCGCCCATTGATCCTCGCGGCCGTTCTGACCGCCGTCGATCTCGCGCTGTTCGACCGCCCATCGATCTCGCGCCGTTCCGATCACCGTTGATCCTCACATTCTTCAGGTCATCCCCATTGTCGTCGTCTGCCCTCGCTCTTGCCGTTCTTGCCGCCAAGGTAAGCCCTACCCTTGTAGTGTTAGTAGTAGTAGTAGTAGTTAGTAGTGTTAGTAGTAGTTAGTTGTAGTGTTAGTAGTAGTAGTTAGTAGTGTTAGTTGTAGTGTTAGTTGTAGTAGTTAGTAGTGTTAGTTGTAGGGTTAGTAGTAGTAGTTAGTAAATAGTAGTAGTTAGTAAGTAGTAGTGGTTGTTAGTAGTAGTTATTAGTGTTAGTTGTAGGCTTAGTAGTAGTAGTAGTTAGTAAATAGTAGTAGTTAGTAAGTAGTAGTGGTTAGTAGTAGTAGTTGTTAATAGTTAAGTAGTTCTTAGTATTAGTATTGTTAGTAGTTAAGTAGTTGTTAGTAGTAGTGTTAGTAGTAGTTGTAGGGTTAGTAGTCATTGTTGTTGTACTACTTCAATACTTTCATCTGCATGGAAAGAGAACTAAAGTACATGGCTCCTCTTGATATATTGGTGGTTGTTGGCCTTCGTGCTCATGTTTGGTATATATGTGGTTGTTGGCCTTTGTGCCATGTTTTTTGCAGGTTTTGGGAACCTCCCCGTGCAGGGGAGGTGCTGCCAAAATTTTGAGTCGACGCTAACCATTTTTGCCCTTTTTTGCAGGAGGACCTGTGGGAGGGACTCGGCAACCCCGATCGTCTTCGTCGGCGCTACGGGTCTTCCTGCACCGCGTCGACTCGCCACTGCACCGACTCTCCACCGCCCCACTACCCTGACCTCACTGGCACCCTAGGTATAACCCCTCTATCCGTATGTGGTCTTTGGTTGCGTAACCTAGTTAGGTGTCTCCCGTCTGAAAGATATACGATTGGAGGTATACTGACTCTTTGTATATCTCTGTGACCGTGATCATTTCGGATTGTCCATGTTTTTTGGACAGCCTCATGATGCGTAGATGGGTTAGTTTCCATGGTCCGCTCCGTCCCGAGATGGTGTTTTGGCATCACCCCTATTGTTCTCCAGATACACACTCTCCCTTGCGGGACGTGCATTGGGAGAACAATGGGAGGTGCTTTGAAATTCTCTCGGATAGGGAGAATGAGCATGGAAACTAACCACATCTCAGGCATCCATGGTGGGATTAGGACCTATCCTCACCTATTAGAGAGTAGGAACACCGCGTAGATGCAATTGATGGTTACATTACTATGTGCTATATATGTGGAAGGATGGAAGACCGTCAGTGGATGTACACGGACCGGAGAAGCAGGAATGACTTTGACATTGAGTGGGTGAATGGGACATATGCTTTCTTGGAACATGCATGGAGCTCGGGTGTAGCTAAAGGACATTCTAAACTTTGGTGTCCCTCAGTAGCAAATGTGACAACAACAGGGAGGGTAGACAAGGTGACCATGGGTAAACATCTTGTGTACAATGGTTATATCTGGTGGCTACCACCGGTGGATCCACCATGGTGAAGCAGATCGTATAAGAGCGGAGGTGGTGAGACCACGCCGAGGCTTTTGATGATGATGCCAAGTAGCAGATATGCTAGATGACACTCACCAAGCTCACTTCGCGCAGAAGGACGTGAGAAGGAGGAGATGGAGGAAGCCGCTAAGGCCTTCTACG